TTTGTATGTATACCTAAACCCCAAACCAAAACCCAAAATGAAGCTCTCCATATGCTTGAGCAACCGTATATCGTAACAAGAAGAAAATAAAAACAATAGAATGTGTGAATATGTACAGTAGAATGGAAATGAAAAGGGTGAATAGATCGTGTTTGAGGTAAGGGTATCATGATATGCAATCTCTCGCTGTCGCCATGGCTTTTCGAGTAGATAGAAAGGATGATATATGGAGAGATGAAATGAAGAAGATGGCGATAGATCAGAAAACAGAAAGTGAAAGGGAAAGGGGAAAAATCACATATAAAACGAATTATTCCGACTCCCCGATGCCGAACTAGCACTCCCACTCATACTCCCCCCATTCTCACTTCCTGGCGTCGCCGGCTCTAGCACAACCTGCTGCCTAATCGAGACAATCCACTCATGCTGCAGCAACTCCGCAGCAGTAGGCCGTTTCATCTGATCGCACTCGAAGCAACGTCGCAGGAAGTCGATGCCGGGGTCGCTGAGTTGGTCCCGCGACGGCAGGGTGGGTTGGTTGCCCTGCGCAATGTTGTACATGATGGCCCATTCGTTGTCAAGCGAGGACCATGGACGACGGCCCGTGGTCATTTCCAGAATCACACAGCCCAAAGACCAGATGTCGACTGCGCCCTGGCGGTGGACGAAGTTCGAGGCGTCTCCGCGGATGACCTCGGGGGACATGTACATTGGCGTGCCGGTCATGGTTTTCTGGTTCTTGCGCTGGTGCATGTTCTGCGCGTCGCGCGGGACAAGGGCTTCTTTATGGCCTGCGGCGTTGAAGGCGTCCATGGGGACGGCGGTTTTGCCTTGGCGGGCGATGATCTTGGAGGCGCCAAAGTCGACGTATTTGATGATGCCGTTCTGGTCGAGGAGGATGTTTTCGGGCTTGATGTCGCGGTGGACGATGCCGGCTTGGTGGAGGTAGGCCAGGCCTTCGAGGAGTTGGAGGGCGTAGACCATGATGACGGTTTCGTCTTCCACGCGGCCGTGTTCGAGGAGGCTGGCGAGGGAGCCGCCGGAACAGTATTCCATGAACATGTAGACTTTGTCACGGTGGACTTCGATGCCGTGGTAGGAGACGATGTTGGGGTGGTCGAGGACTTCTAGGACGCCCATTTCGTCGCGGATTTGTTGGGCGATCTTGGGGATGAGCTGTGGGTCTTGTAGACGGATTTCTTTGACAGCCATGAGATAGTTGCTGTCAAGGTTAATGGCAGCGTAGACTGAACCGAAGGTACCGCCTCCAATGAACTGGCCCTGCTGCCACCGCAGAGTGACATTGGTAGCTGACGAGGAAAGCACGGTGAGTGACCGATCTGCTTCGTTGGATCCCTCCAAGACTCTTCCTAGTGCTTGGCGCTTCGCATCTTCTTCAACACGAGAGTCTTCGAGAGCGGTCAAGTGAGCCAGACGTTGTTCACGGACTAACTTGGTGGCCTCATCATCTGTCAGAATCCGACCACCCCCAAACTTTCCTCTTCCAACACGCTCGTCTATCCGTTTCTTTTCGGCCTGAGCGGCAAGAGAGGATCGAGCGCCCATGATATCAAAGTGAGAAATGAGGAGTGACATGCAGCCGGCAACCTTCAATCTCAGGTGACCGAACTGTACATCGTCCATGGAAATGAGATGTCTGCTAGAAGTAATTGCCATTGCAAATTCAAGCGCAGCCACAGCCCACTTGAACGTTTTTCTATCAGCGGCATCACAATCATCACAAATGAACGAGACCCAGTCAAGAGACAACTCCACGAGTCGAGCACTATTCATCGCATGTCTGTTTGCATCAACGTAGTTCGATGATCGTTTACCGAACTCCGTTGCGAAGGCGTAACAGGCTTGGATAAGCTCTTGGTTTTCCACACGTTTCTCCTTAAGTTGCTGCCGGATAATGGCCACACTATCCATAATGGTCATAGAAAGTTTGAAAGAAATCTTCTTGATCTTGTTCAATTCGACGTTGACACGTGCCAGATTAGCGCGCTGCTCGACAGCCATATCAAGCTGAACTCCGGTCAGCTGCGCCAATTCAACTCTGGCGTTGGAAAGGCGTTGCTGCGTTCCTTCAACAATAAGACGGAGCTTGCCCAATCGCACGTCTGCCGGCTGTTCCAGCATCTCCACCTCCATTTCCCGTCCAGTCCAAGTAATCGGCTTCTCTGGACGGACGACCAGGATGTAGGGCGTAGCAGGCGAGTCTTTCGTAGAATCTTCTTCGCGGAATGAGGTGGCCATAATTGCTTGGATATCAACTGGACGGCCCCACAGCGCACGGTGTGCAAACATGTAGATGCCCTTGGGGCCGGAGTCTGAATTGACTAGGAAGTGGTTCGACGCGAGGAGAGCTTCGAAGAAGTCATATGCGATGTCAGAGGACACATTGTACTCTGTGGCATTTTCAAAAAGCTGGCGCAAAAAGCGGGAGAATCGATAAAGCTTGCGCTGACGAATTCGCGTCGAATCCAAGACACTCTTGTAGCGCTTGTCCATGTCAAGCGGGTCTTCATCCTCCCGGACGGTAATTTCTCGTTCAAAGTGGATCATCAGGCGTTGAAGTGATTTTGCAGTCAGGGCACTGGTGATGTTAGTAAAGCAAGCTTCTAGAAGTCTCAAAGAGCGTACCTGAATTGTTCAGCCACCTCGATATCTCCGCCCTCCAGTAAACGACCGACTTCGTTGGAGAATTCCCAATCCTGTTCGAGGATTTCTGCTTCCTTGAACGTGTTCTTGTTCGCATTCAACTTCCAGTTCAAAAGTCGGAAGTAGTACTTCATAGCATCCAGCACAACAGTATCAAAATTCTCATCAATGCAAGGAGGCAGTTCCCAGCCCGGTTCCGGTCTGGATATATCCAAGTAGCGCTGCTTAATATCAGTTGCAACTTTCATCAATATCTGGAATTGCGAGATCATTTGGTCGACCAGGATCGGAGATTGCTGGGCTGGGTCCTTCATTTTCCTGGCATATGAAAGTCGAACTCGAATGATTTCCTGGATAAGACGAGAGGGAAAATTGATAAGGGTGAGGAGTTCTTCGATGTACGGAGGCAGATGGCGTTTGGCAAATGAACTTGCGTTCTCGATCAAAGTGCTTTTGGCTTTTTGGATGACTTCTCCGATACCATGGAGCATGTTGTGCTTCCCTTGAAGCGTTTTGAGCCCATCTTCCTTCATGATGCGGTCGAGGAAAGACGAGTCATCGGCCAGATCACTATTGAGATGCTTGACTCTGGGCTTGACAAAATCAAGCTCGTTATTCCCAACCCACTTTTGCAGGATGGCTAGCTCGGTGCTGATGAGTGCTGTGGTATTGTGCCATGCAAACACGGCGTCGCGGCTCGAACAGAACTCCTCGGAAGCGACACGGGGATTTGCTGTTTCAAGTTCCTTTTGAGTGGAGTACATCATCTCCATTTTCTCAATCTGTTGGACAACATCTTCCACTTGCTTAATGGCCGGTTTGCCAATCTCCTTTTCTCCTTTGATCTCGAAATTAATGATATCCTCAATCAGAGGCCCAAGACTCGCTCGTGCCTCTTCAATGAGCTTCCGTTGGAGAGCAATACTCCGCCCACAGGTTCTTGCTCTAACACCCAGCCAAATGGCGCTATTTTGAGCAGCAGATCGCTTGGTATCCGTCAACCCCAGAAGCCGTTGTTTTTCCTGCTTGACAACATCTCCCTTCAAAACCGACGCCAACATCGAATGCCATTCCAGTCTCTCCTTATTCTTTGGATTCTTCAGTTCATCGATCGAAGGCTGATTATCACGAGCAATAAAAAGCTGAACATCCGGGTCGTACGCGTCGTCTTCGAACGGGACTTCCGACGACGGCGACGGCTCCTCCAAATCCGAATCTATCGGCATCATATTCTGCGCCTCGTCGAACCGATCGTACCATGCCTGCGGATTCGCTCGAATGCGCTGCACATACGCCTTCTCCTGGGCCCGGTACTGCGTATTAGCGTCTCGTTTCGAATTTCGTTTCGCCGACGACGACCGCTGCCGCTCGTCCTGGAAGGAGTGGTATTGGGGAGGTCGACGTTGGGGCGCGTAGGTGTTCGAGGGTGTTCTGGCGGGACCCGAGGGACGCTGCGGTTTCATCTCTCGCTCGGCGGTCAGCGGGTGGCCATCGACGGGGGGCATCTTTTCGAGAGCCGTTTGGGCGCCCATGCTGGAACCCCGCGGGCGGGTAATGGGGGCGTTTGGCCACGGAGCGAGGCCATGGGATTGAGGCGGCGAGGAGGCGATAGGGACGGGTGTTGTCTGGATCGGGGTATCGTAGTTCTCCGCGTAGTCGGAGATAGTTCTTATGGGATTGTGGCGCTCCAGGAGGTCGTCTGGAGGCGCGGAGTCAACCAGATCAGGATGGACGATCTCCGGGTGCTCCAAGGGCGGGAAATCTCTACCTGGCGGGGGCTCCATGGTGGCATTGGTGATAGGGGAGAGGAGGGGAGGAGGGGAGGAGGGGAGGAGGGGAGGAGGTGAGCAGAAGACTTGAAGACGGAGTCTTGGATGGAGCTCCCAGCCGATCTCCTATTCGGGTTTAGCGTGGGCACGTGTGGCGCTGCCTCGGGGAACCTTTGCCGGCCTATCACTACATACCCTACATACAACTACAAGTACTCTCTCGTACTCCGTTTTAAGATAGAACCATGGTAGCAAACGGTTTCTCCGGCTGGGCTCCCTCAATACCGAGCCAATTCCGTTGAAGGCATGGCAGCTCTTCCGGCCAATAGGAGTACCGATGGTTGTCATTTCCATACCTACACATACTACAACAGTATAGCTTTGCAGAAGATAGTTAAAATGAGGGAGAATGTTTCTAATGTGTATAAGACCAAGTGTAAATATAAGCTATCACCAGAGCGACTAACATTGAGGTCGCCATCAGAAATACGGTCCGACTAGGGTATATATATTTGAGCAGTATCGGGTCTATCATCAGTCTCACGGGTGTTAATGTAACAGACTGGCCTAGATAACAGGACAACACCCGTGAACTTGCATATTCCTTGCAACAATCATCCGTAGCTCGTCGATACTCAGTTTGAGAGACTCAGATGCGTCGCTTGTGCCGGCAAGCAGAGGTCCCCATAGCTGACCATTCGTAATCGTCAGCTCCCGCGAGTCTGCTGCTTCAGACAAGCCTGGAGGTGGAAAAATGCTCTGTTAGAGCAAGCAGTCGTTAGTTTCATGTATGCTTGTAGGGATTTTGTGAACTTACTCGTCTCTGGAGCAATCTTGCATTCCCATCGGTATCCAAATCGACTAGTTCAATATCGCCTTCGACTTGCTTCGCGGCATTCTGGGTCCATTTCACAATGATGACCATTTGTACTGACTCACGGCCACCCTTCAACCAAAGATCACGGTCTTCGTAAAGTTGTTCCCTTGACTCGCTCCAACCAGACTCAATGACAACTGTCGGAAGAGTCATCCCTACAGGCTTGATACAGAGATCTGGTTCTTTTCGCGAATGAGTGTAGCTGCCGCCAAATTCCGTGAATGCTGAAATAATAAATCAACATCATTACTCATAGATAAAACACACTGACTTACTTGTCCCAACATATATCTCTAAGCCCTTCTTCTCAGCAAAAGTCAAAGAACTCTGAACAACCATGTCGTCCAGCCAGTTCTCAATCCAGGGCTTATGAGCATCGTGGATTGAATTCGGGATTAAAACGACCCGCAACTTTTCAAGCACGGAGTTATATCCAAGTCTATGATTGTTAGCAAACATTCATCCTTGAATGGTTTTAATGGTATAACTAACCTCCAGGACGACCTCTCTGCTGCGTTGTCTAGTTGCAATAGAATAGATCTGGCTTTTTCGGGGCTTATAGAAAATTCGAGAATTTGTTCATAGGATGATGAGAGGGCAGTTGAAATAATAGTGTTGATAACTACATCTATTAACGGACTCGACATATGAGAACACATATTTCCTGGTAGAAGAAGCCAGCACTGAAGTGAAAATCAGACAATGTTTCCTTTAATCCAGTACATCTCAGTGACATCAGCATCAACATCAGGCAGACCCGGGTTATTGCGGCCATTCTCATTCGTCATCATTGCAGCCAACTTCCCATCTTCAGTAACCACAGCTCCCTCAGTATCGCCCTTACAAGCCATAGTTCCATCAGCCGGTTGATCGCAAGTTTTATCAGATGTGATTGTATTGGTCGATTTCCACTGCTCATTACAAGCGAGTTGGTCCAAAGCAGAAGTCGAGAGCTGCTGCAGGGTCTTTGACAAGGCGCTCCCAGTCTCGGATGTCGTTCCCCAACCGTACAAAGTCAGTTTGTCGCCGGTGGCGGGAGAGATATCGGTGACTTCTTCATAAAGGTGAAGAATCGCAAAGTTATGACCGCGGGAATTGGTGTTCCAGCTCGGGTGGATAATAATTTTGGACACGGACAGTGGTTGGTTGCTAGTTCGATCGAGGCTTCCTTCATGGACTCCGAGGGAGCTAGCATAGGATTCATCAACACACTCAGCAGTGGTAATCACTGTTTTAGGTCCAATCAGGGTAGCAGCGCATTTGTAGTTGTATCCAAGGAGAGCCTTCGCAGATGCGGCCATAACGAATGTGGCGGCATCTTTGGGGGCATCAGTGCCGTCGACAAGAGCGTGGATAGGCCGTGTGATTAACAGCAGACTGCTTACGATGCCGTGGAAGGAGGTGAACGCGCGCGTTTTACCAGAAGGATGGATGCAAAACGAGAGTTATGATTCTTCTCAAGAGCGAGGGGTCTAGGGCCTCTAAATAAAAATTCCCCGACACTGTGAGGGCAAAGATGCTGGAGCAGTTATTGATGGTCAACACAGGCCAAATGGGTAGCATGACATAGGAAGAATCAATTGCTCGATTGCTCGATTGCCCCTGTGGTCCGTACCGATACGGAGGTACCAAGTAGATCGGGACTCCGTATATGGATCTCATTGGGACTTGGGCTTCCTCGGACCCCACCCACTATGCTCTTCCCTCTCCACCTTCCGATCCGCTATCCTCTCCGTCGGATCTACTGGTCGGAATGTTCCAGCTCCCAACAGTTGAATCAATCCTTGCTACTGCATACCGTATATATTTCAATAATGATTTTGGTCCGGAAAGATCGACCTTTTGATCGTCCTACGGAATTTTGTGGTCTGCAGAAAATCGGCAGGGACCGATACGGACCTATGCCATCTGTAAGGGAGTTACGGGGCCTTGTGGATGTGACATCAAGTGACTTCTGCAGTGGTGAATTGGCAGGTGAAAGAGTGGCTGTAGTGGAGATGCTGCAGACTTTGTTGTAAGATGGGCTTCTGGTTGGACTAATCTCTCGAAGTGTTGGTTGTGGGGCCTGGATATCCTGATGTGAATGTTGATGTGGCCGAATATGTGTCTTGGATTAACAGTCTGTGAAGTTGTATGTCCAATAACTATGGATTATCTCGTACACTTATGTGAGCACTTGCATAGTCATGACTGGCCGAATCATTAAAACGTTGAGGAGCTTTTATTTTTCACAATTAAAGTGAAATGAACGCAAATCAACACTTGCATGCATTCCTTGAATCTTGTGCTTCTTTTTACCTCTTCTCGTACAATTCTGTAGGATAGTCAAAACACAGATAGAGAGAAAGACTTTCTAGATTGAATCAAAGGGTATGGCTTTATTCATATTCGTCGCTAAAATTGATACTGGCGTCATTGCAAGAGCCCTATTGAATAGCCCTAATCGATGCAACGTTCGTAGGGAAGCTTAAGGGACATTGAGACGCCCGCTACGAACGCCCTTTGTCCTGGTGCTCCGCAGCAAACCCCAAACAAACCCCCCAGTATAGGTGAATTAACCCAGCCCGGGTCCGCATGGACTATCACTAGTCTCTAGAGCCGGGTCAGATTACTAGAACATGGAAGACCATTTCAATGGCCACAGCAGAGGGCTCTATACAAAAGGTTTCTTTTTGCACACCTGTTCATTCACATCCAAATATTTAATGAAGGGGTGTTGATGTGTCTCTTTCTTTACGAGGCGAGTATTGTCTAGAAGGAGAATAATCAAGTCTTTACTCCTAATTTAAAAATAGAAACAAACAAACTAATCTTGCATCACTTTAGATATTATCAATATACTTACACTGAGGTGCCAGGAGATCTAGGATGATCTGTTTTTCTAATCGGAGCTGGTGAGAAGAGAATGACAGCATTGCTGCGCAGGCATCAATATAGAAGACACCTACGCCCTTTACACAAACGCTGACCTTTATCTGTTCTATCCTCAATCACTACTTGCAAAATGCCGATTAAATACGAATTTAACGAAGCGAACCAAAACTTCCAATACCCCCCAATCCCGCAAAGCGACAAGGACGACACCATTCTCGGCAATAAAGACCCATGGCCACCATTTAAGATAAAAATCGTCAAGGGTAAGAAAGCTCAGCTCACCATACTAGCCTATCACTAATCTCATTCCAGCCACAACATCCACGGAATGGGGTACCATAGACGCAGCAGCCTCCCATGCTCTACAAGTCACCGAAACCAACGAAAAGAATGAGCAGCTCGTCCGCACGTACCATCCAGCTCTTCGAGATCAGCGTTGGGTTTCTGTCTCTGAATCCAGCTACGGTCCGCCGATATGGTTAGTCCACGATCGAGTAACAGGGATAGAAGCCGGGGGTCGAGCGATCCACAAATACCCCGTTGATCATTCGGAGTTGTATCGTTTGGGTATCATCCAGCCGCGATCGTTTCGCAAAGAGGAGTTCCTTTTTCGGTTACCTATTAATCCACGGAAGTTGTTGAGGCCTACGCAGTTGGATAATCTTCGTGAATTGTTCCCGCGTGCTGTTGGGGCGAGGGTTCTTGTTTCGGGGCATCTGGTGGTTCTTTTTGAGTCCAAGTCTAATATGAAGGATATCTTTTGGAGTGACTGGGTGATGGAAGTTGGTTGTCTGCGTGCAATTTATGATGTTGTGAGTGCGGATTTGAGCATCAAAACAACCAAATCGGGCCGGGAGGTTTGTGTCTCGCCCAACAGTCGTGATTGGAAGGGTGGTTTGGGACTTCGGTTGGCCATGCCGGATGGAATTGAAGCAGTGACTTCTGTCACTCATGGTTCAGTATACAACCCCTCCACATCGCTCATTCCTCGCACGCTTCGTAACTGGGCTCGAAGCGCGAGAAACGCCATCCTACGTCTATGCAATCTACCCTGCCCTCTTCCTGACTTCCCAGTCGGAAAGGAGGTCACGCACCTTAACTCTAAACCGGTAAGTGTCACCGTAAACCTATACTCGTGCTCTACACTAACCTCCCAGATCGGCACAATAATTAGCACCTACGACAACCCTAGCCAAACCCACCCATACCCCGCCGGTTACACACACGACCTCAGCCTCATAGCAGCCGAAAAACTCCCCACCATCAACCCCCGCATAACCAGCTGGGCAACATACACCGAAGCCCTCAGTGGCTTACCCGCCTACACAATACGCCCCTCCGCAAACGGAAACCAACCCGAGATCCAACCGGCAACAATGGTCGGCACGCAGTATCTCTGGGACCGAGAGACGCGCTCACAAAGTGCTTCGCTGATATGGAGGACTGAGGATGATTCAACGCCTGAAGTTGGATGGCCGGGGTCTGTGTTGTGTCTTGGGACGGATGAGGGTTCGAAGGCGGTTGTCTTTCATAATTTTCAGACGAGGGTTCTTGTTGACGTGGATAAGAAGGGGAGGTGTGAGTATGGGTTTTTGAGGGGTGGGTTTTTAGTTCCGGGGGAGGTGAGGGATGCTAGGATTGTTTAGTTTTGCTATGCCAGTAATAGCTCTCGCTTGCTAGTATCGCTCTAGATATGATGGTATTGATGACGTCTTTCGGGGTTCTCGAGGTTAAATCATAAAAAGGCACTGATAATTTCTAATTGCTTAGTGTTATTAACGCACGCAGATCATGATCAACTATGTGCATTTGACTGCTTCCCCAGAATGCGTACTTTATATAATTCATGCCTCAGGCAGGATGCCAAGACTCTAAAAATGGAAGTGACATGGCTTGTCTCGGGCCAATCGGAGGGCAGATGCTTATCTCTACTTCACCCGTCTCGTATAGGGGAATAACAAAGAGTAGACAATGCAGAGTACATCGTTGGCAGATTATTGGATCGCATATTGTTACTTGGAATTAAAGCTAATCTATAATTCTTCCTATGTAACACCGGACTAGAGACGATGTCTACGCTCTACTCCGTGCAAGACGGGAGAAACAACCCTAATGACCAGCTTGATCTATCATCCCAGTTCCAGCTGAGGAATGTAGTACAATCGACACGATCATGAAGCCTAAGATGCCAGGTCTTGGCTAGATAAGTACTCCGTGTTCCGTACGGGCACATTCCAGCTAAGACAGGTCAATGCAAACGATACTGATAAGCAAAGATACATACTTGATCAATCACAAGATAAGACTCGTCTTGTACTCGAGACTCGGACTCGAGTCTCGAGGATACCAGGTATAATAGGAATAAATAAGACGCCCCTGAGGATATCAAGACTGACAGCACATAATCCTGTCAACACGAGTGCACGAAGAATGACAGCTTCTTATACAGGCCAAGCACAGTATGTTATGCTGCTGTCAACGGAATCCTTATCTACAACCACTCACACCCTATTTTGTCATTACATCGTTGATCAATAACACAACGCCTATCAGCCTCTCTATCACGCAGGATCGCAATTTGTCACCTGCTAGTCCTGCCAGATACATCATAGCAATAGTCCTCCTCCTGACTTCTGCCAGAGCGTGCTCGACGCATATCAAACCCACCCAGACCCGCAATCTTCGCCTCTTATCCGGTGGCTTGGTCCCGATCTGGGATATCAATGGCCAACCCGGGGTCTTCCGTATGTGTAGAAGGGCTGACTCGTCGCAACGGTGCAGGGACGTGCATATTTATCAGGCTGATCCTCCTGTCTGTCATCTCCTTTGTTTTGTATTTGTGTTTTCTGTCATTTGGAACTGAACTGCTGGACTGTGCTTGAGTCTATATAACAGTAACGGGCCAGCCTTTGACTCACGCTTAGAGACAATTCTGTGGTTGTTTATCGTTGGTTGTTGACGCTGGGATGTCGGCATATCCGGTCCCGTATAATGGGTCTGAAACGGGTACTGGTGGTGACTCGTTGAGGGAGGATCTTAACGTTTACTACAATGTTTGTCTGAAGATATAATGATCACAAATGCGCAATGCTAATTATACCAGGCAGGTGACATCGCTTGGGTCATCACTTCAACCGCGCTCGTCCTCTTGATGATTCCCGGAGTTGGGTATGTTATCTATCTCAGTTGTCAGTTGCCAGCGCAAGCTAACAAATTAGATTCTTCTACTCAGGTCTAGCCCGTCGAAAGTCCGCCCTCTCCCTTCTATGGCTCTCGATCATGTCCGTTGGAGTGGTCTCCTTCCAATGGTTCTTCTGGGGATACTCGCTCGCCTTTTCGCACACGGCTGGTAAATACATCGGTGATTTGAACAACTTCGGACTCAAAGGCGTCCTGGCTGCTCCGTCTGTTGGCAGTGACAAGGTCCCGGATATTCTGTTCTGCGTTTATCAGGGCATGTTTGCTTGTATTACGTGAGTACCACCCTTGCTTTAATACATGTCAACAATATTAATGATACGTCCAGCGTCGCCATCGCAGTCGGCGCCGTCGCCGAACGCGGCCGCATGCTCCCCTGCCTCATCTTCATCTTCATCTGGTCAACAATCATCTACGATCCCCTCGCCTGCTGGACCTGGAACTCCTCCGGCTGGGTATACCAACTAGGCGGCCTAGACTTTGCAGGAGGCACACCCGTCCACATCGCCTCCGGCTCCGCAGCATTAGCCTACTCCTTGATGCTCGGCAAGCGTCGCGGCCACGGCACCCACGAACTCAACTACCGCCCGCACAATGTCACCAGCGTCGTCATCGGCACGGTGTTTCTCTGGGTTGGCTGGTTTGGATTCAACGCGGGGTCTGCGCTGAGTGCGAACCTGCGCGCGGTGATGGCGGCTGTTGTGACGAATATTGCTGCTGGTGTTGGTGGGGTGACGTGGTGTCTTTTGGATTACAGGTTGGAGAAGAAGTGGTCGACTGTTGGGTTTTGCTCAGGGGTGCTTTCGGGACTGGTTGCTATTACGCCTGGGAGTGGTTTCGTGACGCCGTGGGCGTCGTTTATCTTTGGGGTTGTGGGGGCTGCGGGTTGCAATTATGCGACGAAACTCAAGTATTTGTTGAGGGTTGATGATGCGTTGGATATTTTTGCAGTGCATGGGATTGGGGGGATTTTGGGGAATATTCTTACCGCGTTTTTTGCTGCGTACGCCTCTCTCTATCTTGATTGTGAACTTCCTGAACTAACAAGTATAGTGACTACATCGCGCACCTCGACGGCTCAACCGAAATCGACGGCGGCTGGATCAACCACAACTATATCCAGCTCGGCTACCAACTCGCCGACTCGGTGTCCGGTCTCGCATACTCGTTCGTCGGCAGCTGCATCATCCTCTTCCTCATCAACTTAATCCCCGGCCTCGGTCTCCGTGCCCCAGAGGAGAATGAAATCATGGGCATTGACGATGCCGAGATTGGAGAGTTTGCTGTACGTCCCCTTCTTCCACTCTATTCAGATGACCCGTTGCTAACAGATGCAGTACGACTACGTCGAAATCACCCGCGACGTAATCAACGGCGTGGACGAGAGTTCTTCGAGACGCACTGTCACTCCGATCGAGGGTAATAGTACTGTTGAGACGAAGGTGGTGGGCGGTGCATGATCGTTTCTTGGCTGTTGTATATATCTTTATTCTTTTCCTGAGGGATACACTCTTTACTTTCTAGATTTCTTTTGTGATATTATTTAATGTATTTATTCTTCTTTTCATAGTACACAAAACTGCGCTCTGATTGGTCAATGACTGTAGCCAATCACAACCCTCGTCGGAGCTCGGTCTCGTCACTGAAATCCAAATGGATCATCTCACTTTCCTCACTCTTAACCTCCATAACACTCAACCCCAACTTATTCAATCCCCCTCCCCCCCCCCTATACCTACCCCCCATTATCTATCCCGCGACAATGACCGACCCCGACGCGGCCCTCAACAACTTCCCCCAAGACCCCTCCGACTTCGACTCCGACCCGCGCATATCCTTCTCCAAGCTCGACGACAAGTACATCCTCGAAACAGACGACGGGAACGAATTTGAGTGGAATTCGGTGTTGAAGAGGTGGATTCAGACGGTGCGCCCGTGCTTTACCACCCAGTGTCGGTTCGAGGGAGGAAAAGCTAATCGGAATGTGGTGTAGCTCGACGAAGACCTCCTCCGCAAACAACAAGAAGCGTATAAAGTCGAAGGCGTGGATGAAAATGAGCAGATTACAGCGCAGCAGTTGAAGAAGAAGCGGAAACAGCAGGCTGTCGATGTGAGCTATTTATTCACCTCAACCGGAATGAAATTGGCTAATAAGGTAATAGGACGAACCCCAAAAACCCAAAAAACAGCGCACCAACACTGCCATCTACATAACCTCCCTCCCCCTCGACGCCACTTTTGCCGAAATCCGCGACCTCTTTACAAAATGCGGCGTCATCGCCGAAGAAATCGACAGCGGCCGCGAACGCATCAAAATGTACACCGACGACAACGGGGCCTTCAAGGGTGAAGCACTAGTTGTATATTTCAGACCTGAGTCTGTGAACCTTGCGATACAGATGCTTGATGATTCGGATTTTCGAATCGGGCAGACGGGGCCGACGGGAGCGATGAGGGTGCAGGCTGCGGATTTCTCGTTTAAGAGTCAGCGCGAGGCGCCGGTGCAGAGTAATAATAGGGATAAGAAGAAGATTATTGCGAGGACACAGAAGTTGAATAGGTGCGTCATCTTGACCTTCATCTTGGATTCTGAGTTGGGATTTGCTGATCTGGGCAGTAAACTGGCGGACTGGGACGACGATGACCCCTCGATAATGGCGAACACGAGCTCGAAGTTGGAAAAAGTTGTTATTCTGAAACATATGTTCACAATGGATGAAATCAAGGTACGCCTCCACTTAGTTAAGGGGATAATTGCGGACATCTGACAAGGCGTAGGAGGACCCCACCGCCATCCTTGACATCAAACAAGACATCCGCGATGAATGCTCCAAACTCGGCGAAATAACCAACGTGGTTCTCTATGACAAGGAACCAGAGGGCGTTGTCAGCGTGCGCTTTCAAGAGCCGGAAGCTGCCAGGGCTTGTATTCAGGTAGTTCCCACCCCTCCCTCTCTATCAACAAGCAAAACTAACAGAACAGGTAATGGACGGCCGCTACTTCGCCGGCACCCGCGTCGAAGCATACGTCTCGTCCGGAAAAGAAAAGTTCAAAAAGACTAACGAGAAACGTGAGGCACTCGAGGACATGGCTGAACGCGGCATCGATGCGGAGGATGAAGAGGAGGAGTCCCGACTGGATGAATTCGGGACGTGGTTGGAGAGTTCGCGTGTTGTTGAGAATACGGCCAAGTAGCTTTCAAACCGGTGGATTGTATTATAGAACAATTGTATCCTTAATGTGAAGATCACTAGAGTCTACAAGGCAAAAAAACCCAGTAAGTCGTGTATTCAATCTACTACGCTCGTGTGTCTACCAAACAACAACAACAAACCAAAGCTCGCAAACCCCAAAAATACAATCAAAAACTTACACAAAAAGAACAAATGAAACGAAAAACCGATCCCTGATTGCTACTTCCACCCCTCCACCAACTTCCCCTCGACAACCCCCGCCAGTCCCTCCAACGACTTCTGCGCACTCATCAGGTCCAAAAACGGAATATCCACCTTAAACACCGTATAAAACCACGTCCGGAACTCCGACGCAATCATACTATCAACACCAAACTGCGGCAGCGCCTTGCGCTCATCAATCTGCTCCAGCGGCATAAGGATCAAATTCGAAAACCGCTTCTTAATCAACCGCAGGATAGCAGCGTTCAGCGACTCGGCGTCTGCCTCGAGGGAGAATGTCGATGTTGCCGTGCCGGGGAGCGCCTTGAACCATGGTGCTGCGGTGGTGGGGGTGTTGGTGTTGGAGCCGGAGGTGGAGGTGGAGTTTTGCGCGTCGAGGACTTCTTGCTCCGCTGCGAGGGAGGCGGCTAGGAGGGCGGCGCGGGCTTCTGTCAACACGCCGTGGTTGGAGACGTCGAAGCCGCGGGCTTTGAGTTGGCGGACGCCGGCGGGTTCTAGGCCGGTGAGGAGGTGTGCTTGTCCCGGGTTGTGGGCTGCTTCGCTGAGGAGAGCGAGGTCTAGGACTTGTAGGAATTCGTCCTCGTTGAGGGGTTGAATACCTTTTCGGAGGAGGAGGGCTTCGATCTCCGGATTCTCGTGGAGGTATCCGACTTCAGAGATCATGCCCAGTCCGACTGCAACGGCGGGTTTACCCTGTGAGCGGCGCCAGCGGGCGAATGCGTCGAGGAAGCCGTTGGCAGCGCAGTAGTTGCTCTCCGTGGCTGTGCCGACGGTGCCTGAGACGGAGGAGGTGAGCAGGAAGAAGTCCAGAGCGTTGTCGTGGCCCTGCAGCGCGTTGTGCAGGTTCCATGTACCTTGCCACTTGGGGTCGATACCCGTGTGCCATGCCTTGTTGGGCATGCGGGTAAAGAGCGCCTCGTGCAGGCCCATGGCTGCTTGGACGACACCTCCAATCTGTCGGCCCGTGGCGAGAGAGGCTGCCACGGCGGCTGTCACATCAGCGGCCCTGGAGACATCGCCACGGACGACGTCGACGTTGGCGCCGGCGGATTGGAGACGCGAGACGAGCTGTTGGGCGCTGGGCTTGTCGGCGCCGGAACGTCCCAGGAAAACGAAGTGGCGAGCTCCTCGAGACATCATCCATCGACTGAGACTGCGGCCTAGACCACCCAGACAACCGATGAGGAGGTAAACCTTTTCTGGGTCGAAGACGGAGAGGTAGCTAGCGGGGACGACCTGTTTGAGTATAGAGTATTAGCAGAGAACTATGCATATCAGTAGGGGTACTAACCGGAATCCGAGCCTGAGGGTTCTCCAGCGAAATAACAATCTTGCCAATACGGTCCTGTTGAGTAAAGGTGCGGTATGCCTGAGTAATCTCGCTAACCCCAAACACCTTGACCGGCGGAGTCTGGATATCCCCCGCGCGGTACAGCTCAATAACCTGAGCCATCAACCCATCCCAAACAGCGCGGTTATGAGGATCCTGGGCATAGAAGAACTCGGACAAGTCAAAGGCAGTAAACGTGCAGCTGCGCAGGAAAATACGCATGTCTAGCTTGCCGGCGTCCACCAAATCCCGCTTGCCCACCTCAATAAAGCGTCCAAAGGTCGCCAGACACGCCCAGCTGGCGTGCAAGAGGTCGCCGGTGAGCGAGTTGAGCACGACGTCGACACCCCGGCCGTTAGTGACTTCCAGAATGCCCTCGACAAAAGAGGTATCGCGCGAGTTGAAAATGTGCGCAGCCGGCACGCCAAGCTCGTTGACTAGGTACTCGCACTTTCTCTTGGAGCCGGCCGTCGTGTAGACTATGGCGCCTCTCTTCTGGGCCAGGGTGATCGCTGCGAATCCAAGACCACCAGAGCCCGCGTGAATCAGGACGGACTCGCCTGCACGTAGGTGTGCAAGCTGGTTGAAGGCATACAGCGCGGTGCCATACACTGTGATAAGCGTAGACATGACTGTAAGCTCCTCGTGGTCGAGCAACCTGTGCACGCTGCCGGCTGGCACCCGCTCCGTCGTGGTGAAGTGGTTGGGCGCCCAGGCGACGACGCGGTCACCAACGCTGAGATGCTCAACTCCCTCGCCAATGGCCGTGACAACACCGCTGAAGTCGATTGCAGAGGTGAAATTGCGCGTTTCCACGCGGCCGGCAATGGCATATACGTCCTTGGCGTTGAGGCCCACTGCCTTGACTTCGATATCGACATAGCCTGCCTCCGGGGTTGTCTTTGCTGTCGTCGAAGACAGTTGCTGGAAAAACATGCTATCTGTCGCCCCGGGCCTTCCGATTGAGAGACGGGCGATACCGGCTGTTGCGAGCGTCTGCTTCTCCAAGGATTCCAAGGGCTCCAGTCGCCGGCGGAAAAGCGAGTTGACATCCTGGTCGGGGCCGAAACGGCTGATGTGAAGGATACCGTCGCGCTGGATGAACTCGCTGTCATCCTTCTCCTGGTTGATCACTAGGGCTCTCAGGGCGTTCTCACAGGTTCCAACGGCATTAGGAGTAGACGACAACAGCGAAACTGGCCCGATGTCCAGAACCGTGTATCGCAGCGCCGGCTGCTCCAGCATCAGGGCACGCGACAGACCATTCGACAGAGTCAAATTAGGGTCCGGGACGCTGCCCAGCATGTTGGCACCTGTGACCCAGAGCAGGTCCCTGACGACATCGGTAATGGCCCGGAGACGGTCCATGTCCTCGGGGCTGATGGTGGCAAGAAACTCGCGCTCCGTCTCCAGCAGCGAGATGGCGACATCGTGCTCTGAGATGTCAGTGGTATCAATCCGGTCGAGCGGGACGATACTTGCGAGAGAAACACCGGCTTGGTCGCGCAGGTAAGCTGCCAGCGTGTTAGCGAACTCCGCCACGGTCGACGAGGGATTCCGGCCGAGCACAATCAGAGCGTTTCGGCCTTGCAGGGAGGTCAACTGCGGTGGGCGCAGGGCCAAAATCACGCTCTGCCCGATAGGCAAGACGTTGAACTTGAGAGCCTTCAGGACGTCGACAGCGGCATTGGACTTCCGAGCAACAACAATTCCATTGTCAGAGACAAGCGAGGCAATGCTTTCCGGATCCTGTGACCAGATTTGCTTCGAAGATGAGTTCTGTTCCAACTGTTAGCGTCAGACAGATATTGCATGTACGCCAATAGCAAAACAAAAAGAGATGAACTTACTCTGGGAACCACAACAACATCAAAAGGACTGATGTCCTCGCCATCGCCTTCAACCACAATCTCCCCATTACCGTCGAGCACACCGGCCTGCCACGACTGGCAACGCGCAAAAGCCGTTTCCTTGTTCAGGATACCCAGCCATTGCTTGGCCTTGTACCCAACGTCATCGCCGCCCAGCTCCAACACGCGCATCCGCGGGTGCCTGTGGCCAGCGAGATCCACAAGGGCCGCGATGACGGCGATGCTCTCGTCGTCTCGCAAGTCACTGTCCAGCGGCTGCTGGTCCACAAAGGCAGCAACGTAGTCTTGCAGCTGGCGCTCAATGCCGGGGTGCAGACGTGCGACATCGGGCTTCCAGTGCACCCGAAGCGTGGGCTGGCGCTGCATGTACTTGTCAATGGGGTTGGCGTTGTTACCGTCAGAGGATGACTGCACTGCCGATGACTTGCCCGTATACAACGACATGCGCGCATCTCGCAAATTAACGACAGGGACGCCGCGGTCATTGCGCAGGGTCGCATCGATTCTGCGACTCGATACACCCACCTCCTCGGACCGGGCGTGGATCACGGCCTCGAGCTCGGGACTCGTCGCTGCCTGGGCAGAAGGCTGGATCCTGCATTCGGAGATGAACACGGGCATCCACGCCCGAAGCGACGGCAAGTGTCCTGCGGTGCCTCCCAGAATAGCCGCTTGGAAGCATGCGTCGATAGTGATGGGGTGGACGGGGTAGGAATCAATGTAAGTCTTCGAGGGAATTTCAGGCGCCAGTCGTAACGACGCAATGGCTTCGCTTCGGGTCCGTTCCGAGTCAGTGCGAAGGCTCGTCAACGACTGGAAGTATGGACCGAAGCAGAGTCCCTCCTCGTCCCATTTCTGATACCACCGGTTCGTTGGCGATGCCTCGAAACCGTCGTCATTTTCGACCGTTGTCGTTATCACATGCTTGGCGGACTCGGTCAGTGGCTCTACCACGCGGATGCTTCCTGCGCAGTGGATCGTGGTCTCGCCGGCAGCCCACGAGGACACGGCAAAGTCGTGCCAGTCAGCCGATGTGTTCACTGTCGACAGTTTGCGCAATGACATGGTGGTGTGCAGCTCCAGGTCCTTGGCCGCCGGGTCGTTGTCAGGGGGCACAATAAGCGCAGCGCTAATGTTGACATTGCGGAACTCAAAAGCCACGTCCAATTTGCCCCGTGTGCCTGTGACCTGTGAGACGGCCTCAATAGCGACCGCGAGGTATCCGGCGGCGGGGAAGACAACCGATGTCTCGAGCTTGTGGTCAGAAAACCACGACATCTCGTTAGGGCGAATCAGGTTGCGCCATGTGAAGTCGATACCGTTCCCTGTGAGGGCGGATGTGCCCAGAAGCTCATGTCGCAGATACTTGCGGTTGCGAAGCTCGACACTAGCCCGCGGTTCGGCCCAGTTCAGTGGCGCTGAGTAGTCCCATGGGTAAGGAGCCAGGTCGTGCAGCGGTACGAGCTCATGGCCCGACTCTGGAAGGCCGTTGACCTTGTTCCAGTCGAGTGCGTGGCCGTGGGCGAAGAGTGTACCCGCGAGCTTCTTGAGACATTCATCTGCGTCTTCCTTCCGGACCAATGACGGCGCATAGGGTAGGGAGTTCTTGTCAAGCCCGATGGATGTCCGGATCTGCTGGGTGGGTCCCTTGAGAGCCGAGTGCGGGCCTACTTCAATCAGGTGAAGCTTGCTACCCTCCTTCTCGGTCAAGCTAGCAAGCGCACCGCTGAACTGCACAGGCTGCTCGAGATTCTGGCGCCAGTACGCGGCCCAGTCTGTGCGTCCCTCCAAGACGCGGAGATCGTCGGTGCTGTGGCCTACCGAGGAATACATCCTGGCTGCTGCTGGTGTCTCCGAGTTTGCATCCGCGAACAATGGTGTGAGAAGATCTTGGTACAAGGCACCAATCTCCTTCATCATGTGAGAGTGGTAGGCACGGCCACCCGTCTCCAGCTTGCGCGCAAATTTCTTCTGGTCCTGGAACTCAGCTCTCAGCGCCTCAATGCCGTCGGAGGCACCACTCAGCGTCACACTCTCGGGAGCATTGACACAGGCGACGCGGACATTTCCCTGTAGCTCCTTGGTCTCGATGAGGGACTTGGCTGTTTGAGCGCTAACACCTGCGGCCATCATCGTTCCTTGAGACTGCAATTTCCCGACACTGTAGCCCCGGAAGTACGCAACAAGGATGGCCTGAGCCGAGTTCAAGAGGCCGGCGGCATAAGCAGCTGCGATCTCACCCGATGAATGGCCAACGACCGCTGTCGGGCTAACTCCCCAGCTGCGCAGCAAGTCAACAAGACCAACCTGCAACGCCGTACAGATAGGCTGGCTGCGAGTGACCTCGTTGATACGGCTCTCAGTTGGACCGTCCAAGAGGGTCTGCTCCAGCGTCCAGTCGGGAGCGTAGGGGTCTGGCAGTGCCTTCAGGACGTCGTCGAGGCGGCGGATGGTGTCCCGGAATTGTCGGTTGTGGGCTAGAAGCTCTTTGGCCATGCCGGCATACTGTGCACCCTGACCCGTGAAGACGAAACCGAAAGGTAGCCCTTCGCGATCGCTGCTATTATTCGCGTCTTCCACGACCTCCAGCAGCTTCCCGCTGCCCTCATATTTGGCGAGGAGGAAGCTCTTGTGTCGCAGGTGGTCTCTCCGATTAGTGAGTGTGTAGGCCAAGTTCTGGAGATTCTCGGCATCGGATAATTGCAACACAGCCTGGGAAATATCTTGTACGCGTGTCTCGAGCGATTTGGACGATGCTGCGCTCACAGGAAGGACGACTACCTGGTCGCTGTTTTCGATCTGTCTCTTCTGCGCAACCAGTCTACCAGGGAAGTACTGACTCAGATAGCTGTCTGTCGACTCAAGGATAACGTGCGCATTCGCCCCTAGTAACCGTCAGCATGTTATTCTGTATACTTGTGTAGGGCAACATTATCTCACCTCCATAACCAAACGAGTTCACCGAGGCGCGTCGCAGTGCTCGGGGCCATTGGTCAGCCTGTGTCACGACCTTGAGGTTACGCTGCTCCAGAATCGGAATGACTTTTAGATTGAAAGAGCCGTCAGTCATAATGTGGCTATAAATCCTAGGTTAGGAATGAAACTCACGCTTGGGGTTCAGTTTTACCAAGCCATGCGTTGGTGGAATCTGGCCCTTCTCGAAAGCTGTTACCACCTTCAAGACAGATGTGAGACCGCTGGCTGCTTCACTGTGTCCGACGTTTGTTTTGACCTTTTTGCGGTTAGATTCTGGTCTGAACTTTCTTTATTAGAGCCATTACTGACCGATCCGATGAGAAGTGGTGCTTGTTCTTGCGGTCGGAAGAAGCACCGGCCAACAGCGTCCACCTCGATGGGATCCCCAACCGGGGTACCAGTACCATGGCACTCAACATAGTCCGTCTCCGCGAATTCCAGGCCAGCGTTTTGGTAAGCCTTGCGCATCACAGCCTCTTGGAGGTTGCCGCTTGGCAGCGCAATACCAGGCGTCCTGCCGTTACTGGAAATTCTTAGCTTACTTTCGAGATCGATTGGGAATGACTACTCACGCGTTGACGGCACTTCCCCGAACAATGGCCCGGATCTGGTTGCCATCTCGGAGCGCAGCAGACAGTCGCTTCACGTAGATAGCGTTGACCCCTTCAGCTCGGCCATATCCATCAGCCGAGGCGTCGAATGTGTGGCATGTCCCCGTGGGCGAAAGCACACCGCTCTTGGCGGCACCGATGTGCAATTCAGGTGACATGATCAGGTTGGCACTGGCTACGACCGCGCTCTCGCAGTCCCCCACCTTGATGGCCGACAGGGCCTGGTGGAGAGCGTAGACGGATGACGAACAGGCCGTATCCAGTGTGAAGCTGTAATCCGGCGTAAGCATAATCATCAGACCGGGAGAAAGAGTTCATCTTTACCTGGGACCATGTAGGTTGAAAACATGGCTGATTCGATTCGACATGATCGTCGCTCCTGAGCCGGTCGATGTATAACGGTGTAGGTAGTCGGAATCACGCGTCTGCATAGGCTGGTAGTCGACTGAGAAGTTGCCGACGTACACACCTGTGTTGGAGCCCGACATGCTCTGCATCGATGCTCCAGCGCTCTCAAAACATTCAAAGACAACTTCGAGCAGTTTGCGCTGTTGTGGATCCATGTACGTGGCTTCGAGGTTGTTGATGCCGAAGAAGCCATTGTCGAATTGTCGAATGTCCTCATTGATAAAGTAGCCCCCAGGAACGTTTATGCCACCGCTGCGATTGCCATCTGGATGGTAATAACCATCTACATTGTAGCGGACGGGGGGTGTTGGGCCTTGGCCCGTCTTCTGGTTGATGACCAAGTCCCAGAGTTGTGAAGGCGATCGAACATCTCCAGGAAGGCGACATGCTGTATATCTTCGGTTAGATCTGTAAACTGGTTGCGATAAGGAAGCTCAATCATACCCATTCCCACGATGCATGGCGGATCATCATTCATCGACTCCAAGCCGATGACGCCGCTCTCTGAATCGGTGTATGCTACCGGGCTGCCATCTCCGCTGCTCGTGGTATTGGACAAGCCCACGATAACGGGTTCAGAGTCAGGCATGGTTTTGGGTATCACTCTAACAGGCGCTCTGGCTCCGAAATGTGGACTGAAGCGGTGTCGAGGTCGAGGGTATCATCTGGTCCTCGAGTCTTTATTAGGGGTGTATGACCAGATTTTCTCGGGCTAGTTTGCTTATGAGAAGTACTCCGAAGCTTTGCCACCGGGAAGCTAATAGCATTCCCATATCATATGGGAAGACTTACGAACTCGCCCGCGCATACACTCTCACAAAACCAAACCCCGGACTGCTTCACAATATGGCCGGGCTCTAGACGAATTCGCAAGGCTCGGCCATACCCTTTACCCAAGAAGAGTAAGATAAGACGACCGCTTCGGTCAACTTGGCCATCTTGGAAACTCGAAGCATGTATTTGGATCCACCTTGTTTTGTTGTCATGATACCGATGCATGCAATTCCCGAGGCCGGGGACTCGGGAACGCTGACGGGCATGGACGCTGCAGTCAGCTCGGGAAACCAATCTGTGCTTCATAAATCAAGCGCAGCTATGGGAAACCACACAATTACTAGCCAAAGACATCTACCAAAATGGATATTACCGGGAACGCCTTTGTCGTCGGCGGAGGTAGGTGTTGACACCCCCCAGATCATTGCCAAGACTTACCGAATTAACAGGGGGCGGAATCGGCAAGGCCTGCGCGCTGGCCTTTGCCAAAGAAGGCGCTACTGTAGTCGTGATTGCAGATCTGGATGCAAAGAAGGCGGTCGAGGCTGCCGCCGAGTGCCAGGCGTTGGCGCCTTCGGCTGAATTTCGAGCCATCGGAGTACAGATCGACATCACGCAGGAGGACTCGGTCAAGACTGCAACTGATCAGGTGGTACAGACCTTTGGTCGCATAGATTATTGCGTGAACTGCGCTGGGGTGTGTTGAGTCTCCTCTGGTCTGGTTTCTAATACTAATGCTTGTTTGCAGATTGGAGTTCAACAAGGGGTTGACATTGCAACTTTGCCATTGGCTGAATTCAGGCGTTTTCTCGACGTCAATACAGTCGGCATATTCCTGGTGACTCGAGAAGTGTCTACAGCGATGCGTGCCCAGGAGCCCAGACTGGTCTCGTCCGAGTCGCCCAGACGGGGAACCACGCGCGGCGCAATTGTTAATCTCGCCTCAGTCCTGTCTGTCGTTGCGGCGCCCGGAATTATTCCCTATACAGCATCCAAGCATGCAGTTTTGGGGCTGACAAAGAATGCAGCCTTGGACAATGTGTCGCATGGTATCCGGGTAAATTGCGTCTGCCCTTCATGGGTCGACACCCCCATGGTACAACAGGCGGAGGAGGGTGTTCAGGGTCTTACAGAATTCATCAAATCTGTAGTGCCCATGGGGCGGATTGCTATCCCAGAAGAAATCGCTGACGCTATCATCTTCTTGGCCAGCCCCAGATCCAGCTATGTGACTGGCTCTGGTTTCATTGTGGACGGCGGCACCACGCTCACCGCTATGAGGTAGAGCAATTACCCCAATTCTATGCACGTTTTTTTTTAATCTCTGATCCACATCTGCTGCTCGTAATGCGTATCGGTAATGGCTCGCGTTGAAATCCCGAAGATTTCCCCGAGAACTTCAAGAGCCCTTCGGGCATGTATAGTTATTGTCCAGGAGGGGCTCTCTGACTCGAGTCAGCACTTATTTAACTATCCATGAGACGTTCATTCCATACCTACCTTCACAACTCTTCATCCATATCCCATTCCTGACGTTCAACGCACAAGCAAAATGGCAGAACAAACCGAAACCCCTCCTGCTGGTTACAACTATGTCAGCTACGGCACGGAGCAGCACCCTATCGCCGGTCTCTCCCGTGTCGTACGCCACATCACAGGCCATGATTCAGAGGGTCGATCCGTGTTCTTGTCCACTGACATCGGTGACCACCACCGCACATTGGGCGAGAAGCAAGCGATTTCCAACATCATCTACTCGACCAACCAGACTCCCGTGGAGCTCAACGGTGACCACGATATTGAGTTTGCCAGGAACACTGAGGTGAGTTCTTCTTTTCCCTTCCTCCAAGATGTGACGTTGACAGGTCTCAGCCCGGTATCCACGTCAAAGACGGCTCAGTGGCACGCCTGATCGACTTCGCTCCGGGCGTGGAATCCCCGCTGCACCGCGCCGTCAGCCTCGACTACGGCGTCGTCATTGAGGGCGTGTTCAAGATGGTCCTGGACTCGGGCGAGGAGCGCATCATGCGTCCTGGCGACATCAGCGTTCAGCGCGCCACGGCTCACAAATGGATCAACATTACCGGCAATGGGTCTCTCCCTGGCCGTATGCTCTTTGTTCTGCTTGATTGCAATGATGTGTATGCGAATGGCAAGAAGATGGAGGGTTACCTGGGCACCCTCGCCAAGGACTATGAAGGACGTGGTGGTTAGATGGAGGACCGGTAGATGTGTACCTAGGGCTCATATATAAATATAACATCCCTTTCAAGACTGTTCGTTATATATAATAAAGATTACATGGCCGGATTGCCGTAGAGTTTGGTCGAGAGGCTGGTCGAGAGGCTGGACGGAGTGAGCCTTCCTAATTCGTGAATACTGTCACATGGTTGTCATGTGAGTAAGCCACCACGTGATTCTGTCTGTCCTTTATCAGCTTGTTGCCCGATTCTCGTCTTCATTCACTTTGTGTTATTATACTGTAAAACCTCGCTATAACGAGATCCCCGCTATAATGAGATTGCCATGTTACCTGAATTAGTTTTCTCATATAAATAACGAGAAACCCCGCTACGACGATTCTCGTTAATTTCTGTGTCCTCCCATACAAATCTCGTTATAACGGGGATTAGCTAATATGCCACCACGGAAGTCCATCCCTGCCTGCCTGCCTCCTTCCCAAAAAGCCTCCCTCCGAGCCCGAAAGCGCCTCTATGCAAATACAAGCCAAAAAGACCTTGCAACTGGTTCCAAGCTGAATATAATCATACCCTCTCATCTGGTCTCATCTCCGATATCCTCTCCAGCAAATATAACCACCTAGGTGATGGTCTACCACCCCTCCGAAATTTAAAGCGCCAATGCCGTGAGAACTAGCCAGAGTTAGAGAATACCTTATACGATTAGATAACACATGTGGAGGGAGAAATATCTATATCTGCAGAGATTGTACGGTGTAAGGCAGAGCAATTCTGGGACGCAATGTATCCTAGCATGGAGAAGCCTACATTCAGTAATGGCTGGCTTCATCGGTTCCAAGTCCGGAGGCCTGTCAAATGGCATGAGCAGCATGGAGAAGCTGGAGGTGTCCCAAAGCAGGCAGAGCAGGAGATGGTTATGATTAGACAGGCTCTGAGTGCTTATAGCCTTAAGGACCAATTTAGTTGTGATGAAACAGCACTTTTTTGGAAGCAGATCCCATCCCGAAGCCTCTCAACTTGACAGCTTCCTGGCTAGAAAAAGGAAAAATCAAGGATCTCTGCTATATTCTGCTATAATGCAGATGGCTCTGAGAAACTAGATCCTTGGTTTATTGGAACTGCAAAGAATCCACATGCTTTTAGAGCCGCTGGCATCAATATTCGGAATTTCAATCTAGTCTAGCGGAGCAATCTAAAGGCCTTGATAACTACCCAAATCTGTATTGAGTTTCTTCACTGGTTTGATAGGAAAATGACTGGACAAAAGGTTGCTCTTCTTATGGATAACTTCTCTGCTCACCAGGCAGCAGCAGCAGCTATCCTAACAGGTGAAACTCCACTTCAAAATACTCTTATTATCTGGCTTCCTGCAAATTCAACAAGCCGATATCAGCCTCTTGATCAAGGAATAATCAATTGCTGGAAAGCATACTGGAAGCGGTACTGGATCAAATATATCCTATATGAATTGGAAGCCAATCGGAACCCTGTTGATACAATGAATGTTTTAAAAGCCATCCGGTGGGGCTTACGAAGCTGGGAGAATGATGTCTCTGGGCGAACTATCCAAAACTGCTTTCAAAAGGCTCTTGATGGTCAAATGCATTATCAAGAGCCTGTGGATCCTGCAGTAATGAATGATATCCAAGCTTCCTTTTCTCGGCTTCAGATTTTTACGCCAATCCAAGATCTCATGGATATACGTGATTTCTTGAACCCCAAAGAGGAGTCTGTCCAGGACAATATGGATGATGTCGACAACCAGGTTCTGGCTCAATATATGCCTGAGATTGAGGAGGATTCTGATGAAGATCTTGAGATTTTACCAAAAGTATCTGCAGAGGAAGCAATTGCAGCCATTTAAAAGCTCCGTTTATATGAAGAACAGCAGATAAAAGGGAACCCTGCCTTTATTCGTGAGGTGGAGAGGCATGAGCGTGTTATATGGCACCGGAAGTTGGATTTGCAGAACCAGCGTGATATTAGAAGCTATTTTTCATGTTAGTAAGTATTTTATTATATATATATATATATATATATCGCCATAGAGGCTATTTTTCAGTTAAAATATGTATATCCTCGCTATAATGAGAACCTCGTTATAGCGAGGTTTTACAGTATTCGTATTCCCATGTTTAGCTTCTTGTAAACAGAATTATCTTCAGCGATCTATAGTGACATGCATTCCATCTGACCGTTTGATAATTATACTGATATCCACCATTCTACCCCATACTTCCATGGTAATTTACACCTGTTTCTAAAGCTTCGCGGAGTGAGCTTCTTTCAGCTTTCCTAAATCAAACATCCTCCAGAATAGGGAGTCCTGAAAGCGTTAGCTGCAGCATACCTCACCGGGACAATAATGGAATAACTACATACCCAAATTGTGCGCCAGCAAAACATATCGAGAAAACGAACGATAGTGGTCTTGCTACCGTACCAAAACCACGCTGAAGGGGATGATCTTAAGCTCTCTGCAACGACATTTGCGGCATATTGGAATCGATCCGTGGTTCCGGCTGCGATGTTGGTTAGTTCCACTGCTGAGTTTGAGCCCAGTATTGAAGTTCTTACGCGGGATCCTTGTGACATGCTGCTGGAAATTCTCCGCAAGAGGGGAATAGTACGATCCTTCATGATTGAAGTCAGGAAGTCTGTGGTTGAACAAGGTCAAAAGTGGGAAGCGCACCTTCTGGTAGCCGCCTATGTGCATCGTTCTTTAGAATGTTAGTGGCCACCTCTCCCGATATAACCTGATGAGCAATATTTATTAGCATATGTCTATCATGAGAAGCGGGACAAGCATACCGTGATAACCCTGACACTTCACTGCTCGTTAGCTTGATCGATCGACAATTATGCGCACAGCTCTGAAACTCTTACTCACTCAAACGGGGCCATCTCAACACGCAAAGTGTTTGACCAGTGCTGAAGCGCTGCCTTGGTCGCATTATAAGAGGCTATGTGGGTCAGTTTCCGGTCAGGTCAATCTCAATATACACGCTTACATCCGTATAAGTAGGGAACCACTCCTCCGACTGAGCCAATATTCACAATTGCTCCGGTGGCTTTGATGATCATATCGTGGAAGTGGTGCAGCATTCGCATAGGACCAAAGACATTGATGTTAAACATGCGCTGCACGGCAGCAACATCTGTGTCAATGGCTGTCATGGTATACGCGATGCCACTGCTTCGGATTTAGTGAACGGTCAGGCGGGAAGAAAAGGAAGAACGCACGCGCAGTTGACGAGGACATCCAGACGCCCACCCGTAAGCTTCTGCACACGAGCTTTCAACTCCACGACAGACTCCTCGTTGGTGACATCCAAAGGAAAGAAAGTAATGCCGGCGCGCGCGAGATGGTCGCTTGGCTCCGTAGGAAGCACAGTGGCAATGGCATGGATGCCGCGACGAGTGTACTCGGTGACGAGGGCCTCGCCAATGCCACCCTGGCCGCATCTATATTATTTCTTAGCATGGACAATGGAAATATGGGAATTCTAGAAGTTATTGATAAGTACCCCGTGACAAGAGCAAATTTCGTAGACATTTTGACGACCGTGGTTGTAGGTTCATTGGTTCCTTACTACGTGTTGTATTTCTACTCGTATAACAGGCCGATACCAAATTGGCCGGGTATCTCTGCATTATGCAAGTCTCGGGAACACAAGACCAGGGTCGGGGTATGCAGTCAGCTCCCGTCATTTCAGCAATACGAAAGCCCATTCCCGAGCTGAATTTTCCAGTTCTAATACGTCAGCGTAAGCAAGCGCCATACACCCATAAGACTTATGCAGCTCTACAACCCTTCCACCTGTATTCAAACTTCAGTTACCACAATGATAACGGCCTCATCAGCCATTCTACTGGCTGCACTTATAGCAGTTCTCTGGCAACTGAGCCTTATAGGCCAAAGACCCAAAGACTATCCCCCTGGACCGCCCACACTCCCCATCCTTGGCAACCTGCACCAGATCCCAAAGGCGAGGCGTCATATACAGTTCGAAAAATGGGCTCGCCAGTATGGTCCGGTATACTCACTCATGCTGGGGACGAAGGTCATGATTGTCCTAAACACGGAAGATGCCATCAGAGAGCTTGTGGATAAACGAGGCGCTATCTATGCATCGAGGCCGGAGTCTTTCATTGCCCAGGACACTATCAGTGGAGGGCTTAGAATTTTGTGGATGGTATGTTAATGGATTTTGCTCTTCACTTTTCCCTGGGTTCTAACTGTCCTTTTCTTTTCTAGCACAATGGCGAAACCTGGAAAATGGTCCGGAAACTCGCGCACCGCATTCTCAACATCGCCACTGCGCGCACTTACGTGCCATACCAGGACCTAGAAACCAAGCGGATGCTCGTTGACTTTTTAGAAAAGCCCGAGAGCTTTATCGAGCATATGCGTCGGTTCTCAACTTCCTTAACAACCCAGATGACTTTTGGCTTCCGTACAACAACCATTCATGATCCCAGATTTAAGGAGAGCTTTGATGTGCGTCTAATTTATACCTATGACTGGGTGGCTTAATTGACTCTTTGCAGATTTTCGATGAGAGCTGGGAATTGGTTGCCTCTCCAGTGAGTTATAATGAATCAACCATCCGTGACACAGGCTAAACATGTTCAGATTGCCGGGCTCATGGACTTCTTCCCTTTCCTCAGGAAGGTTCCTGATTTCCTTCTTCCTGTCAAGCGGGAAGCGAAAAAGCTACACCAGAGAGAGATTACGCTATTCCGAGATCACTACTTCGAGACCAGGAGGAAACTACAAAACGGGACAGCTAAAGTATGCACCCCAACAAAACTTCCCTTCCCTTCAGATACTCACTAGAAAACCACCACAGCCATGCGTCTGCGTCGACCTCGTCAAGCTCCAAAAAGAAGAATCCTTCTCCGACGACCTCGCCGCCTACATCGGGGGCTCCCTCCTGCAAGCCGGCTCCGAGACAACAGCCGGTGTCCTCATCGGCTTCATCCAAGCAATCACCATCTTCCCATCCGTTGCCAAAATAGCCCAAGAAGAGATTGACCGCGTCTGTGGCGACCGGCTACCGGATCTTAACGATGTTCCCGATCTACCGTATGTCCGGGCCTGTATGAAGGAAACACTACGGTGGATGCCGGGATTCCTGCTGGGCTTGCCGCATGGGGCGACTCGTGATGATGTGTATCTCGGGTATCGGATGCCGAATAAAGCGACTATTCTTATGAATGTCTGGTATGCTTATATCTACCCCCAAAATATGTAACGCGGCTAATCTCAGTCTTACAGGGCCGTTCACAACAACCCCGAACAATACCCGAATCCCCGAGCCTTCGATCCCAGACGCTACATGGGCCACGAATATTACCCGCAAACCGCCGCCAACACAGAAGTCGCCCGAGACCATTTCGCCTTTGGAGCAGGCCGCCGCAGATGCCAGGGTATCCACATCGCAGAGCGGTCCCTTTTCCTGAGTATTTCGCGTTTGCTCTGGGCTTTTGATTTTAAGAGGGCTGTGGATCCTGTGACGAAGCTGGAGATTTCCCCCAATATGGATGATCTTTCTGACGGTGCGTTTACTCAGCCAAATGCGTTTCCGGCGAGGATTGTTCCTAGGAGTGAGGAGAAGGCTCGGCGGGTAGGGGAGGAGTGGGGGAAGGTGTTGGAGTTGCTTGATGGGGATATGCAGTGGAGGACTGTTCCTGAGGGGTTGATTTGGAGGGACTATGAGGTTGTTGCGTCTTAGTTGTAGTACTTATATCAGTTCTTCATACGACCCTCTTTTATGTGAATTGCGAGTCTGAAAGAAAAATACTTCAGCACAGTTGTCAAATACGCTAGACTTTTACTCATAGAGCACTCTCTCTCGCTTTTCACCAACAAATTGCACCCGTTCTCAAGACAACTTATATATATCAACCTCACCCCGACCCAGGATACTCCGTAGGCAAAGCATTATTCCACCCAAACACATTATCAGGATCATACTTCTTCTTCAATGCCGCCAAACGCGGCAACTTGCTTGCTCCGTATTTCTGTTCCAGAGTCTCATCGCCTCGCGCATAGTTAACGTAGATAGTATGATTTTCGTAACCTGAAGTCCGCACCCAGCTATCTCGAAGGGCTTGGCCGGTCTGCTCCCCGGCGTTCAAGGAGTCGCTGCCGACTCCGTCTAGGGAGATTATTTCGAATTGGCTGTATTCACGTTAATAGGCTTGCTTTTTTGAGAGGATAATGTAGGTTTGAGAACACTTACAACCAACCAATAGCATCTCTCCAGGGATACGCAGTCGCTTCATCCGGAACGGCGGCCACGGCATGGTTAGGAAATGACTCGAAGTTAAGCGAGGTATATGCAAGCCCGGGGTATGTCTCCCAAAGTGTGCTTATCTTGTTAAATGTCTCTTGTAAGGCCGAGGCCGAGTATTTGCGCATTTGACTCGTATACAAACTCCGGGGAGCCCGTGCCTCGCAAAGCATGGCGCCTTGGCCTCCACCAGCCGTCTCGATTAGCTTGTTCCAGGGTACATTTGAGAGCATGGCAATAGAGGGCTGGAGGTCTAGAATGGGGCTTAGGAATTCGCGGCCCTCATCTTCTGGGCCGATGAATACCCAGTTTGCTCCGATTTGGCCCTGGCACAATTGTCAGACTTTATGTGTGAATACTTCATAGACAATCAATTTCACTTACCTCCTTCGCAGTGCTGTCAAATTGAAACCGGCTGACACCGGCGGCGTTGGGAGGCATCGTCTCGCTAAGTGATTCCAACCAGTCGAAGTAAAATAGAGTCTTGTTAGCAGGGATGATAAAGTCGGCGGTCAAAATCTCCCCGTTGTTGTTATCCGCAAGTCTATGCAGCTTAAACGTAGCCGAGATGATGATGCCAAAGTTAAATCCAGCGCCGCGAACACCCCAGAACAGCTCCTCATTCTCCGTTTCCGAGATGGTTAGAACCTCCCCGTCCGCGGTGACGATACGAGCAGAAACCAAAGCGTCGATTTCCAAGCCGAAAATGCCAGTATAACGCCCGATTCCGCCCCCGAGAGTTATGCCAATGAATCCAGGACAGGTGACAGATCCGCTCTCTATTTTATGTCAATGCGTGGGTTTATAGGGAGAGTAGATGAGCGTACGGATCATGAAGCCAGCATCATAAATAGCATTCTGGAATTGGCCAAAGGTGCTTCCAGCGCCAACAGTGATAGTCGCATCATCGCTATCGAGAGTGTACGAATTGACCTGGCTCAAATCAATGGCGAGGCCCTCTTGAAGCCCAACCATATCGGTACAGCCATGACGGCCACCAGTCGCGAGAAATGGAACACTGTGCTCTTTGGCAAATTTGACCTATGTTTACACATAGTATTAGCAGCTGTCTATAAATCAGGACACTCAATTGACTAGACGTACAACTTTGACCACATCCTCCTCGTCAGCCGGACTGATAGCGCCCGCGTACGTCGGAGCGTTGTAACTATTCCACCTCACAGTAGCGTCTTCAAACTCAGTGGTATCTGGGAAGCTGATGACCGTGTCTGATGCCCATTTAATATCGCTGTCCGTAAGCAAAGCCTTGAGATCGACCGAAGCCGCATGGGCTGGGAGGAGCCATGAGCAGGCTAGGGCTGTCAGAATGTTCCTGCGCATTGCGGTTCGTTTATCCTGTATAGTAAAGATGATCGCAGCTCTTTGCAAGCCATAACAGCTTTTTGGATGCTTTTGTATGTGTACAACATCGGGATGTCCGCATTAGGAAAGAGGCTGATGTGACAGCAATGATCGGCGATCCGACGATACCCGAATACGGTATTCTTGTTACAATACAGGGATCCCGAGCCCTAAAGTCCCTATAATTATTCAATAGAACGATTGTGCTTGTAGAATACGATGTAAATTTTTAATAATAGCTTAGATCCATGGTTATTTATCTCAAATACAGGCTTGCAGTAGCTTCATCTTCAGAAAAAAGTAAAGTGACGACCGATCGGCAGACAAACAAATAATCGAGCCCCTGCATCCGAAGCATTCTATATAAGCCAATTGTTAAAGACCGCCAAATCCCGCCTCGCTCGTACTTCACCCACTCTACTCAATTTCAATATGGCCGTTACTTTCGACATCTCGCCGGCAAAAGAAGCAGGCATCCTGCGCCTGTTCCACAGCCAATTATTCGTCACACCCCCTCCCCTCACTCGCCGCGATGTCGACCTAAGCGGTAAAACAGCCATCGTCACCGGTTCCAATGGCGGCTTGGGGTTGGAAACCGCGCGACAGCTTCTGGATCTGGGATGCAAGGTTATTCTTGCTGTGCGGAGGGTGGAGAGAGGTGAAGCCGCGCGTAAGGAGCTGCTTGAGGGCCGGGATGCACAAGCTACCGAGATTGAGGTGTGGTCTCTGGATCTCTCGTCCTATGAGTCTGTTTTGAGCTTTGCGGAGCGCGCTAAGATCCTTGATCGGCTTGATATCGTGGTCCTCAATGCTGGGCTCTACAAGGTCAATCAAACTATGACCGCCAGTACGGGCTACGAAGAGAGTATCCACGTCAACTATCTCGCCAATGTCCTCCTTATCACCCTGTTAGCGCCAATCGTCAAGGAAAAGAAGACCGGCAACACCCCCGGCCGAATCGTACTGGTATCCTCGGACCTGGCTGCCTGGGCCAAGTTCAAGGAGAGAAAGTCCAACCCGATCCTCCCAACATTCAAGCAAAAAATGACCCCAAAATGGGACTATCTCGAGCGCTACGGTACATCCAAGGTCCTGGGCCAGTTTTTTGTGGCGGAATTGGCAAAACGCGTGTCGCCGGATGCCGTCCTCGTCACGACCACCAACTGCGGTTTGTGTCATAGTTCGGAGCTTTCACGTGAGGGACAAGGCCATCTTATAGGCCATGTCTTTAATGTGGTTAGTCGTTTATTTGGTCGTTCTTGTTCTGTCGGTGCTCGCGTATTTGTTCACGCAGCTGCGAGTCCTGTTTTGGGTGCGAGCGTGCATGGGCAGTATGTGGAGGATGCAAAATTGAAACCGTGAGTTCTTCCCGCGTGAAACATCTCCAATATGTTAAAATGTGCTGACAATGAATCATAGCATGTCACCACTCATATACAAGCCCGAAGCTATGCAGCTAGGTCAGAAACTGTGGGAAGAGACCTTGGATGAACTTTCGTTTGTGGGGGCCAGGGAAATTATTGATAGCCTTTCCAAGTAGCTCTATTTGTCTATACACCAATACACTTTATCCTAATACCAAGCCATAGCCAGTTCAGTGTTAGGCACGTGATATCACGTGATATCACGTGGTGTGAGCACGAAATGTTTGTACAACCTCAAATGCAACGTACGCAGGGGAAGAGACACAACGCAGATTGTCGGTGTCAAGGTGAGATTCCAAATCCAGAGCGTGCAGTCGAGGTCTACTGTCACATCCCAGTCGTTCCCGCTGCAACCGCGAGTACTGAATTTATTTTGAGTTCCCGACACCGCCGCCGAGTCCGTGTATCCCGGGCTACGTATCTTTATCTGGGCGAGGCGCAAGTGTCAGTTGTGTAAGCGCCTAGCTAGCTCAACGGACAGGGGTATGTGAATCTCGAACTCGACGATTACGTACCATGTTTGAGGTGCCGGGGTGGTATTCCCGACGCCCGATACTCCACCTGTCACCGGTTATTATACCAGACATGTTTCGGGAATCACTTGACGAGCTTCAATGACCGGGGAATATAGATTTCTCTGGTTGGAGCTGAGACTCGGTCATCACCATAGTAAGGATAGTACAAATATGATCAACACCAATTGAGGTTGTGCTCAAATCGTAAGCAGTTATCTATCAAAATGGCTTTACAAACGACCAAGACATGGGAGACGCTGAGGCAATTGCTGCCCTCGCGCAATCATGATCAGGACTTCTGGTGGAAGGTGACAGGGCGCCAGCTGGCTGTGTTGTTGGAGGCGGCCGGCTACCCTATTGAGAGACAGTACAACACTCTTTTGTTCCACTATCATTGGGCGGTATGGAGCTTCTTTTCTTTTTTTTTTCTTTGCCACTCGTAATTTAGGCTAATTGTATGCTGCTGCCAGATTCCATACCTCGGACCAGCACCTGCAAGTGGTGTAGCCAAATGGCCGTCGCAGCTATCCGTTGACGGGTCTCCGATTGAGTATTCGTGGAAATGGAACACAAAGACCAAGTCACCTGATGTGCGGTATACCTTGGAGCCTATGAGCGAGTTCACGGGCACAAATTTGGACCCGCTTAACCAGCGCGCGTTCCGCGAGCTGCTGCACAAGCTCAGCCAGTTCGTGCCGGACGTCGATTTGGCCCCGACGGACTACTTTATGTCTACCCTGTTCGATCATGATAAGTCAGTGTTGATGAAGGCGGTTGAAGATGGCGTGCCGTTACAGTTTTCCAGTACCGCTCTTGCGTTCGAGTTCCTGAATAAGGGCCTGCTGCTCAAGACGTACTACGCGCCGCGCAAGCTGGAGACGGGCCACTTTACCTTGAAGGACTGGGACACGGCTATCCGCGGCTATTACCCCGAGAGCAAGGCGCTGGACGTCGTATATGAGTTCCTGAGGACAAGCCCCGAAGGCAGGCTCATGAACCCGTACCATCTAGCCGTTGACAACGTCGAAGGCGGCAGGCTCAAGTTCTATTTCCAGTCGCCCCACCGCACCTTCACGTCGGTCCGCGAGATCCTGACCATTGGCGGACGCGTCCAGCGTGAGGGCTTGGAAGAGCAACTACTCTCCCTACACGACCTCCTCAATGCAGTAACCGGCCAGTCCCCCGACTTCCCCGAGGACGGCGAGCCCCCGATCGTCGAGGAAGATGTCACCGCCGACTTGGACACAGACGGCCACCCGGAACTCATGTCCGGGTATCTATACTACTTCGACATCGCCCCCGGCGCGACCCTGCCCGAGATCCGCTTCTACGTCCCCATCCGCCGATACTGCAAGAGCGATCTGGACCTAGCGCAATCGCTCACAACCTGGATGGCAGCAAACGGCCGCGGCGCGTACTGCCAGCAGTACTTGGACCTAGTCCACAGTCTGGCCGAGCACCGCGAGGTATCAAAGGATCGGGGACTGCAACGGTACATCGCTTGTCTGTTGGCGAAGAATGGAGAGATTGAGGTGACGACGTATTTGGCGCCGGAGATGTATGAGAAGGTTAGGCGTGCGCAGAAAGCTGCGGTGTAAATATGGAATATGGAAACGAGATGTGGAATATGATATATATCGTTCAGTATACCTCCAGATGTATTACCCGAGATCTTGTTGCTAATTACAAATCTGACCCTCCCTTGTCCTCTGTTCCCTGTTGCTATCTAACCGGGGATCCTGGCTGTATATTCATCAGCAGCGGGGAACAACCTCTTGACGCCGTCGGCTTTCTTCTCCAACCACAGGTGGATATATTCGCACGCCATGATGAACGTGGGATTGCAAGACCCGCCGCCTCTTGAATCATGCAACGTGCGAACAAACACATTCAACTGACTGAGCAAGCGCTCGAGTTTCCGGAAATACAGCAGATACAGCCGCTGTCTTAACTCCACCTCATCGTCATCTTCCAACTCCAACACCCCCCAACATAGTCTGGGCTCTCGGATGTTGATTGTTGCTTCATCCAGAGACAGACTCCTTTCTCTTTCAGACATTGGCGATCCACGGCCTATCCGCTCGTTGAGCATCAATTCGAATTCATCGATAGCACGTCCAATCAGCATAGCCACGGTAATAATATTGATCGGCTCAGTATCCCCATTTCCATGGTGGCCGCATCCCATAGACGCTTCAGAGGCTGCAATGCACCGCTTCAGCTGCGAGAGCTGCACGTCGAGTGACAGTCTCCTTTCCTCATTGCGGGCTGGCTGGGACATGGACGCTAGCTGCTCCATAACACCCGCGTGGCAAGTGCATTCCTGAATCTGTGGCTGCTGGAACATATCCGTGCTAGTACTAGCACTGGTACCGGTTCCGGGGGTGCTCGTGAGCGGGGTGAGAATGTTGCTCGCGCTGCCGTTCACGCCGGCGGCGAAGTTGCCGAATGATGAGAATAGCGAGTTGGTGTGGTCTTCGTTGGGCGTTGGAAGAGGGGTCAAGAAGCTGGGGAGATCGAGGTTGGAGGGTGATAGGATCCCTGCTCCTGGACCTGCTGTGGAGGGCTGTTGGTGGTGCGGTTGCTGTTGTGCAAAGAACTGGTCAACGCTGGGTTGCGGGGGATAAGATGTCATAGGGTTTTCATGCAGTGGCATAAAAGGCGTGGTAGTGCCGGTGTAATTGGCGGTGGTCGTAGCAGTAGCAGCAGCGTTCGGGATGTGTACGGAAGAGCGTCTCGACCCGGAATGCGAATGTGGCTGAGAACCCGAATGCGACAAGGAGATCGGGGGCGCATCTTTGTGAGTCCGACGGGACAAGCCGTAGACGCAGGTTGTCTTGTTTCTCTCGCATCGAGCGCAGGTTGGTTTGGTCTGGCTGCAGCGTACTTTGGACTCGTTGCAGGCGTTGCAAGAGGCACGTAGTTTGTATGTTTTTCCATCCATTTGTCTTGTTGGCTGTTAGGAAGAGGTGAGTTTGGGTGCTTCGAATTGGACAAAGATTTATCTTAAATCCCGTGCGAGGATGTACTCGAGAAGGAACCCTGGAGGTGATTGGATGCAGCTTACATGCATATCCTTGTCTGACACACACCTAGACTGACGAGATTCAGGAATCGAGATGGTATATCGGATATTGTCGTGGCTTTGGCAGCTTGTTTGCGTCCAATTGACAACCCACAGTGAACAATTGTCTATGCAAATCAAATATACATCCCGATTGTCTTCTTAAGAGCTAATACTTTTTCTCTTTTATTTGCTTTTTTCCTTTCCCAGTCTAATCTCACTATGTACGACTTTTATATTGAGCTACTCAGTTGCGGTGTCGCCGACAAGGGCAAACAACCCTGTTCCAGTCAGACGTCTATACGGTGTGCATAAAGAAATGTAAGCGCTGCCCGCGCTGGCCATACAGTACAAATCTCATCTCACTGGAGTCGAAATGTGCCGTCTCTGATTCCTTTATCTCACTACATTTTTCTTTCTTTGATGCATCCTATCCAATGGCAAAAACCCCTCGTCGAATTTATCTTACCTTAAAACAGAACTTTTGATAACGAACCGGGCCGGAAGTGCTTCACAAAAGTCAATTTGCCTGAGCAGCGACAGCTCAGCTGCTGTTGCTTGCTATCAGGCATGTGATGTTCAGGGCTCCAAAAGCAATCTAAAATGCTTGCAGTCCGGTTCCAAACGATCCATCTATGCTCTAGATTAACACGTCGATCGTGCATGCTAGTTGGGCAATCAGCACCTTCTCCTTGTCCAGTTGGTCGAGTTGACAATCCAACTGCACGGTTGTCTTGGCATCCTCCAGGTACTCGAGGTGTCTCGAATACATGCTGTTCCTGGGGTGCTACCAGGCTGCATGTTTGCATGTTGCATGTCGTACTGCAGTGGGTGGGACATTATGAAATTAGTCTGCAGGTTATATTAATGGGGTATTTGCAGGTCTTGAGTGCAAGTATCACGATCCCTGAGTAAGGCTAGAATAGAGTGGCACAGTGTGATAGGGGAACAACGCTGGTGCATAGCCTTATGCAGTTGCTTAGTAACTATGCATTACATGGTTGCCACTCGACGTACATAGTACAAGTATTCTTGATAGTCGACGGCATACTCTGTACTAGTACATAATATGTACAAAAAGAACTCGTTGAAGAAGAAAGAATCGTTAGTACGCCGACAGTGATTTCGTACGTGTTCTGATAAGGAATAATGTCGGACCGATTAGTTCCGCCGGTCCGATGATATAGGCCAGCGTGAGCACACATTAGATAGACAAGCACTCAAGCACTTGTGTACACGCATATAGACGAGAATATATCAATCTCTTCGTTAAAACTGGATCTCTCCGTATACGGCCTCGCTAGTCGCGGATAATCGACTCCTCCGGACCTCCGGCCCCCGATCCCCATTTCATGTTCTCGTGGTCAGGTGACCCGCGGTCACCTGACTTGGCGAACTTCTCTGAATAGCCTCAATCGAGAATCATTCATGATTCGAGGTACCCTTCGGGCCTAGCCCATCACAACAAGCTTACTGTCCTGTGCCTGTACACCGTAACTATTCGGTACTATTTGCAGTCCCGGGTCAATGAGATGGTCCGTGTTGACCCCTGGTGGCTGACTAAGCTACCTCATTACCACACTAACCGTATCTAGAAGACCCCCCCCCCTGATTGGCCCACACCGCCCACAACAACTCACCGCTTTGTCAGGCTCTTCTTCTCCTGTTGTTGTTGTCCTCTTTCGACCGACTCTCCCTGTTTGTTCTCTCTCTTCCATTCCTCATCCAGACGCCTTTTTCCTGCCGTTTTCTCATATCAATCGCCAAATTCACCTCCAAAATGCGTGAGATTGTACGTTTTCTCGTCCCTGATCGCTGGTTTTTCACGTCCAGACGCGTTTTGGCATTCCCCTGAACCGGACCCCACCCGTTCGAATATACATCCACATACCTGTCAGAATATATGCTAATGAGTTATCTTCACTATAGGTTCACCTCCAGACCGGCCAGTGTGTAAGTACCGACTGATTTTCGATGGATTGATTGTGGTGGTTGTGGTGGTTTGAGTCGTGTTTTGCGGGGTGATGCATACGGGTTGGATCGTGCTGAGGCTAATCTCGGGTTGGGCATATAGGGCAACCAAATAGGTGCTGCTTTCTGGTATGTCTACAATATTGGGAGGGTCGGATTAAGTGATATACTAACAGTATCATAGGCAGACTATCTCCGGCGAGCACGGTCTCGACGGCTCTGGTGTGTAAGTACCATCGGGTCTTCGGGATGGACGCGTATCGGATATGGATATCTAATGGACTGCAGCTACAATGGCTCCTCTGACCTCCAGTTGGAGCGGATGAACGTCTACTTCAACGAGGTTTGTACATTCATTTGTGTTTGTGTGGAAACAAGTCTGACAGTGACAGGCCTCCAACAACAAATATGTCCCCCGTGCCGTCCTCGTCGACCTTGAGCCCGGTACCATGGACGCCGTCCGTGCCGGTCCCTTCGGTCAGCTCTTCCGCCCCGACAACTTCGTCTTCGGTCAGTCCGGTGCTGGTAACAACTGGGCCAAGGGTCACTACACTGAGGGTGCTGAGCTCGTTGACAACGTTATCGACGTCGTCCGTCGTGAGGCTGAGGCCTGTGACTGCCTCCAGGGTTTCCAGATCACCCACTCCCTCGGTGGTGGTACCGGTGCCGGTATGGGTACCCTCCTGATCTCCAAGATCCGTGAGGAGTTCCCCGACCGTATGATGGCCACCTTCTCCGTCGTTCCCTCCCCCAAGGTCTCCGACACCGTTGTCGAGCCTTACAACGCCACTCTCTCCGTTCACCAGCTGGTTGAGCACTCGGACGAGACCTTCTGTATCGACAACGAGGCTCTGTACGACATTTGCATGCGTACCCTCAAGCTCTCCAACCCCTCGTACGGTGACCTGAACCACCTGGTCTCCGCCGTCATGTCCGGCGTCACCACCTGTCTCCGTTTCCCTGGCCAGCTCAACTCCGACCTCCGCAAGTTGGCCGTCAACATGGTTCCCTTCCCTCGTCTTCACTTCTTCATGGTCGGCTTCGCTCCCCTCACCAGCCGCAGCAGCCATGGCTTCCGCGCCGTCACCGTCCCCGAGTTGACCCAGCAGATGTTCGACCCCAAGAACATGATGGCCGCCTCGGACTTCCGCAACGGCCGCTACCTCACCTGCTCGGCCATCTTCCGCGGTAAGGTCTCCATGAAGGAGGTCGAGGACCAGATGCGCAACGTCCAGAACAAGAACCAGACCTACTTCGTCGAGTGGATCCCCAACAACGTCCAGACCGCTCTCTGCTCGATTCCTCCCCGCAACCTCAAGATGTCCTCGACCTTTGTCGGTAACTCGACCTCGATCCAGGAGCTCTTCAAGCGTGTCGGCGACCAGTTCACTGCCATGTTCCGTCGCAAGGCTTTCTTGCATTGGTACACTGGTGAGGGTATGGATGAGATGGAGTTCACTGAGGCTGAGAGCAACATGAACGACCTTGTCTCTGAGTACCAGCAGTACCAGGACGCCTCCGTCTCCGAGGGTGAGGAGGAATAGTAAGTGCCCTATTTCTGTAATTGGTGAACAATTGCTAACTTCTGCAGCCCCGAGGATGAGCCCCTTGAGGTTGAGGAGTAAATCCTGGTCTAATGTAAATTGAGTTTGCTCCGTTAATACCCTGCTCACGTTCTCTACGAGGCCTGGCCTCACAATTTGTTCGAGCGCACTTAATTTCTTTCATGCTTTTAATTGTGACCAGAGGTCGTAAAACTATTGAATAGGACATAGTACAGTTTAGTTATGCTCGATACTTATCTACAGTCACCTGACAAAAGTCTACGTAATTCCGCGTCGCGCGACGCGCCACTTGATCTTGTCCATCCTCTTTTCAACCACCTACACCATGCCTCGCGCCCCTTTACGATCTACTAGTTCTAATAGAACTAATAGAAAGGAATTAGAACCTTTCCAACGGGGAATTATAGTTGGCCGATTCCTTGCAGGCCAGAAAAAGGCCGATATTCAGCGCGAAATGAATTTACCGTATACAACAATTCAAACCACCATTCAAACATATCAGTCCTCCACCACCGGCACTAGTTCTCCTCGCGTTGGACGGCCAGAGATCCTTTCTGATGCTGATAAGCGATATATTCTTTTACAAATCAAGCGGGATCCCTTTATCAAAACTGAAGATATCTGCAAATTACTTGGGATGCCCATTTCTACACGC